TCTTTGATCAGCATTGTGGTTTATATGCAGGTTGCTGCATATGATAAGACTCAGGGTAAAATGGCATTCTTTGATCCCTCAAGGGCTCAGGACTTCCTCTTCATATCGGGCACCAAGGTAACACCTTTATTCAGAAGGGGGGTTAATTTCATTTTCAGTTGCTAATCTTTTATACAATCAAATCTAATACATCCTGAATGCATTCACAGATGCGAACACTTGCAAAGAACAAAGAAGACCCTCCTGATGGATTCATGTGCCCCGGTGGCTGGAAGGTGCTAGTGGAATACTACGATAGCTTGACCCCTGCTGGCAATGGCAGGGTTTCCGAAGCTGTTCCGGTATAGAAATGGTTTGCTGTATCATAATGTGTTGCCTTTGTGACCAAGAGAAATCTTAAAGAGAACTTATTAATCTCCAAGGGGTGTTGCATATTGTATAAAAGTCCTGTGTCTGAAATCAATAATAAAACTACCCGAGACAGTGGGACGGAGAGGGGCTCGTGATTTGCCTCCTCGTAATGAGGATGCCTGTGTTGGCATCTTCTAATGGTGCCTCCGGAATGTTGACACCATTGTACCATATAACGTGATTGTGTTGCGATTAATGACACTGGTGTTATTTGGTGTAATTTTCGCCCAGCAGTGTGGACGTCTCCGTAGGTAGAACAAAATTAAATCAGAGGAGCATTTTTTAACTGCTTTTGCAGAGAAAATGTGAGGATTGCATATATTTAAATATTATTGTATTAAAAAACTTGAGGTTCTACATTGTGTTCCACTTGAGATTAGCTTATTAAGATTGGAGTTCTGGCACCGATATGCACTTGACAATAGCGCCGATTGGCCAAGAGCCTGCAGCAATGGCAATACATGTTCCCCATGCAAACCAATTCAACTTCTCTGTATCGCCAAATTGCTTCAAAAACTCCTCCATGATCACTTGGAGAAGAATCATTATCCCAACAATCCCAAGAAACTTCCAGTTCTTACAAACATCCTTGAATACATTCTTCTTCTCAAGCTTCCTCGCATTGAATACATTGAAAATTTGACAGAGAATGAAGGTATTAAAGATCAAGGTGCTATTTCTAGCCTCTGTAAGACCAAAGAATGATTCCCCTTTAAATTGTAGAATTAGGAGGACTCCAATCTGGTAAAGAACTTGAGCTAGGACATTCCTCCACATTATGCTGGTAATAAGCCGCTCCATTGGGCCAACAGGTGACTGCTCCATCAACTCACTCGTGGGAGGCTCTGTAGCCAAAGCCAGAGCACCCAACATCCCTATTATCAAGTTCACCCACAACAGCTCAGCGGTCGTTAAAGGAACTGTGCTAGTAGAAATAGTTGCCACGAGGTTGATGACTACAGTAGCAATGGTTATGGTGAGCTGGAACTGAATGAATTTCTGGATGTTGTTGTAGACGCATCTTCCCCACCTTAAAGCCATAGCGATGGTTGTGTAATTGTCATCCAAGATGACAATGTCAGAGCTTTCCTTGGCGACTTGCGTCCCGTGACTCCCCGCAGAGAGTCCTACATGGGCTTCCTTAAGCACCAACGAATCGTTTATACCACTGACTGCAACCACTTGTCCTTTAAGTTTCAGGCACTGCACCATAAGAAGCTTATCCAAAGGAGATGATCGTGCCAAAACGCAGATATTGTCAACTTTCTCCATCCTCTCCTTCAGTGTATAATTCCTGAATACCTCACCTTCCATGACAGATCCTTCCCTGTCCTCATCACCAGATTGGAGAATCCCACATTCAATGGCTATGGCTCTTGCAGTGGAGATATGGTCACCTGTGATCATCTTGATCTTCATACCGGCACAGAAACAGTGTTCCACGGCTTCCTTCACCTCTGACCGGCATGGGTCCTCAATGCCTGCGAGTCCTAACAGGGTCAAACTTTCTTCCTTGAGCCTTTTCTTCTCTTTTAGATCTTCTCCCTCTTCTTGTGAAACACGTTTGTGGGCAAAAGCTACGCAGCGGAGACCGCTGGTTGCCATTTCATCAATCATTAGCTCGAATTTCATTCTTTCTTCTCCATTCATATCTTTGGTATTTCCTGAAGCATCATAGTAACTGGAGCACATTGCTAGAATCATCTCTGCCGCACCTTTCCAGTGAACATGTAGCGCACCTGTGTTGTTGTCTTTATTCTTGATCATAACTCCACTCCGTTTCTTATGAGAATTGAATGTTTCAACAAAAAGGATTGAATAATTCTGCTTCAATTTCTCCATATCCATTTTCAGTTCCAAGGCAGCCCAAGAAAGAAGTGCCTTTTCCGTTGGACTACCAAAGAATTCAAATCCCATTAATCTACTAGAACCTTTGGAAGCATCTTCCATTGTGTTCAAGGCAACTCCTTGAAGGATCAACTCAACAAGACGGGGCGATATTGAAGAAATAGAAGAAGCAACTTCATCCATAGGTTTCTGGCCAAGCCAAAAGTTCTTCACCTTCATTTGATTAAGCGTGAGAGTTCCCGTTTTGTTGGTGCAAATGGTGGTGATGGATCGCATTTTCTCATATGCTGAGGGCTGCCAGACCATCAAGTTTTCTGCCATCATTCTCTTCATTGCATATGTTAGGGTCAGCTTAACTACAAACAGGAGGCCTTCTGGAGAAGCAGTGCTGATGACAAGAGCGGCACCAGCAACTATGCCTTTAATAGCATTCAGTGGATCATTGGCTTTTGTTTTACAGCCATAGCATCCTATATTTCCATCTCTGTCGTCGCCTGTATTTCTGGTGAAGTAATTAACTACCAACAACACCACAAGAACCAGGTCGGAAACCTTACGAATCGACCATGCTAGCTTTCTTACTCGCCTTTGAAGTGGTGTCTTCTCCTTCTTGTTGCGGCTCATTAAATTCATCTGATATATCTGATGTTATGATGAATTAAAAATGTTGAAAATGGATGTGTAGAGAACTCAAAAAGGTGTTTAATCAAACATGTTATGTGCACTTAAAGTGGAAAAAACGACTTACCATTTGGCCATATGCTGTGTTCGTTCCGACCGAAGTAACGAGCATTCGGGCAAACCCGTTGATAACCTTGGCACTGGAAGCTAAGAAGGGGTTTTGCCTCAAATTCACCTCAACATGGTTTCTGTCTTCAGCCATGCTTGATTTATCTACTTGCAGAGAATGCCCGTCGAGAAACAATCCATCAGCTGGAACTTTATCCCCCATCTTCAGGTAAACAATGTCTCCTACAACTACATCGAAAATCAAGATCTTCCGTCGTTGGCCGCCCCTAATGATGTCAATTTGGATATTGTTACTGGCTCGTGACAACATGTCCAATTGTCTGTTCTGCCAGTAGTTTCCGATGGCAGAGAAGGCAACCAGCACAAGAACGGCAACGAAAATGCTACCGCCATTGTACCAGATTTCTTTGAAGGCACCACCATGATCCTTGATGCCGATAACAAGTGAAAGCGCTGCACAGCCAAGTAAGATCATAATAGTATGATCTTTGAAAGCCTTCCCCACGAAGTAGGGGAAGCTTTTAACGGTATGTGTCTTGCTATATGTGTTGGAACCAAACACCACCCGTCGGCGCATAATGTCCTCAGCAGTGCCATTAATACCGCCGTCCAGGTTGGTTTCCAAACAGTAAGCCACCCCATCAACACCACCAAGTTCCTGAAGTGTCTGAAGATCTTTCTTCGTCACCAGGTCATTGAGAATCGTTTGATTGATTCTAAAACCATTGCTTTCGTGAGGGATAGTGATAGAAACATGGGAATCATCACTCTCCTTAGGCTTGGTGACAGTGGAAGGGACATTAAGCAAAT